TAGGAGGCAAAAAGGCATACCAATGCATAGCTAGATTCCTATTGGCTATTGCAAAGTGCAATAGCCAATAGGAATCTAGCTATGCATTGGTATGCCTTTTTTTTCTTTTCTGACTGACGGCGGACCGCGGCTTCCGATGTCAGAAAAGAAAAAAAAACGATCGCAGGGAAAGGTTTAATCTGCTCGATCGAGGAGCCGCTAATAGCGGGAGACTCCCGGAGCGTCCGGGAGAATTGGGATGTCTGCCTCTTAGGGGTCTCACTTAAATCAGTGTACCCCCCCAGATAAAAGTCTAGAGTTCTTCCTTAAATCAGACCCCCCTCAGATGAAAGTCAAGAGTTCTCCCTTACATCAGAGTCCCCCCTTACATGAAAATTAGGGGTCCCACTTACATCAAAGGCCCCCCTAAGATAAAGGTCCAGAGTTCGCCCTTATCTCAGTGCTCCCACTTACAAGAAAGTCCAGAGTACCTCCTTAGACAAAAATTAGAGGGGTCCCACTTACATCAGAGTCCCCCACTTGTGTACTGCCTGAAAAAAATGAGCAAGGTGCAACAATCTCGGGTTCCCTTCATTAGAGGGACGGCCCTGCTGGTAACCATAGTGTGGATATCAGTAGCAGAAAAGGAATGCAAGACCATTTCTATAGAACCAGCCCTGACTTGTAACAATAAACCAACTTTTGGATTTGCATACTTCTACCCTCAGCTCAGAAGCCGTGGTATAAGAGATTGCCAAGTTACAAGGCAGAGTTACCATGCATTAGCAGACCTGTCTTATTAAGGCTGTGACATGCTGCACACAAAGCCACGTGAAGCAAAGGGAAGTGGCGTTGTGCGGACTTTTGTGTGCAGTGTATCTTGCAATTTCCTCTCATCAGCTGGTGAGGGCTCGTATAGCTCAGCGTGCTGAGATAAAAAAATTCATCTACAGCCAATTGGTTCACGTGTATGAACCTGTGCGTCAGGACACAAATTCCATTGAGTTCATACGCGTGAGCTAATTGGCTGAAGATGAAGTCTTTCAGCTACTCGAGCTCTCACACATTGCAATGATTGCATGCAAATGTCCATGCCTCGGAGCTTCTCTCTGCCGCTCGCGGCTTTGTGTGCAGTATGTCACGGGCTTTCCATAAGACTGTCATGTCTCAATAGTGAGCTGTCGTATTGCAAGGCACAAGACACTGTCATGTTAAGGAGGGATACATGGTAAAAGAGATTTTCATATTAGAGACTACTGCCATGTTGCAAGAGACAGCTGAAAACTGCTTTTCATGTTACAGGAGACCGGCCATGGTATAATGAACTTACCATAAGCACAAGGGAAATTTCCAAGCACCCTCTGCATAGTAAATATGTAGAAACCAAGCCCCAATCCAAGACTGTACATCAACCCTTTACATACCTCAATGAATCTAACCTGTCCTTCCTGATATGTACTCCAGATAATGTGTTACCTAAGGGCACATGACCTACTGAAAGAAGGAATGTTTTTTATTAACTCTTGCAGTAGGGTTAAGTGCTCATTTGTGTCTAGGGACAAAAATAACAAAGTTATACTCAGCCGATCCTTGGAGCCATCTTGTTCTTAGACCGGTCCTTCCAATGTCTCTGCAGTGGTCTACGGTCCCATAAATCATCACATCCTATACACAGTGTATAGATGCGAGGATGCTGAGGAAGATTCCAATGCTGCAGAGAGGGAGACAGGCTGGAGGGAGCGGAGTGACAATATCGAGTGAGTATATCTTTATTTTAGCACCTAGACACAAACGAGCAGTTAGCCCCACTGCATGGGTTAATAAAACAAATTCCTGGATCTCTCCTTTAAGGACTGTATCCAGCAATGGTGTTTGCTGTAGAAAGGTGCATAGTATATGATTTCTGGAACAGGATTTCTTTGACCTTTCTGTAAAGGAGAGGATTGTACTAAGTGCAGTGGTGGGAAAGTACAGCTGTACAGAAATAAGCTTGTGCACAACAAATCATTCAAAATAAGTCAGTTCATGAGGTCTTTGCTACTCAAATGGTATCTCTGGTCAAAAACTTCAAATAAATCTGTGTTTCTATATTGAAGATCTATCCCACTCCTAATAACCAGATCCATCTAGAAGTTTGTAAACTTACTTATTGAAGATGCTCATAGGATGTACTGTACTGCCTCATTGCACTGACACTATTTCACTGAATATGAAATTCCTGGTGTCACCACTCTCACAGAGCCTGCCTTCTGAACTACAACTCAATGTCTAAACATTGTAACATCATCATTGCTTGCTGGAAGCGGTGCATGATGGGATATGTAGTCTTCAGAAATCAACATTGCATCACATCAAGCAGCAGGTAAGGAGATACAAAGCACACTGGGAATCCAGGAAGTTGTTGAAAGTGATGGGCAATCGGAAGGCAGCACTCACTACATAAATGGGATTTTTTAAAGAAAGCTTTGACTGTATTATTACAAACAACTGTCTCTGGCCCACCCCTATCATTAACCAGTTGACATCCACGGTGTTAAACCCCCTTCCCATCCAGGCCATTTTTCAGTATTACGAAGCGCCGCGTTTGATGCCGCGAACGAGCACATATAGGCGATCGGCGGGCTATGGACCCGCTGATCGCCTATATGTGAAACACCCGGTAACGGGTGTGTGCATTGATCGGGTCTTTTCTGCCCGTGCGTGCCCGCTAGGGGGCGCGCGCGAGCAGAAAAAAATTGCCGTCTGGAGACGGCAACCCGCAGATGCAGCAGTGCCGTCCGTCCGTTTTTTTACTACGGGCGGACGGCAAGAGGTTAATTGGATTTAAATTTTTCAGTCATGAAGGTTCAGCATCACATGTGGACATTACCTAGGGTAGTTTGCATGCAAATACAGTCTGCCTATGAATGCCCACTCCCCCAGAACAACGTCTGCCCATAGAGGCATTTTGATATTCCTATAACTCCCAAGAGCCAGCCCACTGTTTATATCAGGGCTGAGGGTTCTTGAGAGGAGTACTGAGGCAAGGTGCTGTAATGTCTTCAGAAAGCTATATACAGCACCCTGCTGGCCCCTCCTACCTGCCCTGATCTGCCTGCATTGCATAGAGAGACGGTGAAAACAACTAAAATAAGTTAGTTATTTAATGAAAAACAGAAATGTTTGATTTTAACATTTCATTAAAATGTTGGATAAACTCCAGCTTTAACTTGCACCCGGGCTCTATAGATCGAGAACTGAGAATCACAAACTGCTGATTGCCCAGTTCCGAATCTTCTCCCTGCAGAGAGCGGTGACTGTCAGTCAGGGATTCCCCCCTCCCCTCTCTGTTCCACCAGCTCTCATTGGAGAGACAGACAGTGGAGGGAGTGGGCACACCTGGTTCTGGCTCTAGAGAGGCAGAGCTAGCTGTCAATCGAGCAACGGGGTGGATCCTGACATTATTGTCAGGATCCTACCCGGCTGCAGTGTGGCTCTGCGCTGTCAGCATATATTGGGCAATAGCCTGCTATATGCTGAGTGTTGGGTCACAGAAGGACGTAAATAAATGTCTTCCAGTGAGCTTAAAAAGAACTAAAGCCAAAAATAAAGGTTTGGCCATAGTTCTCTTTTAATACTGGGAGAGGTTGAAGCACCATGCTGACGGCTTGTTAACCCCAAATCCAGACCAGATCTGCATGAGTTTCTGCACATGCAGTGCAGTGTGTTTTGCTGCGTTTGTCGTCTTCCGGGCTGTTTTTTTCTTCTTTTTTTAGCCTAAAATGGACTTTTTGTGTTCCAGGGTGTTTGCATGTGTTTTTGATGTACTTGCATGCGTTTTGGTGCGTTGCAAAGCAGAAAAAATAGGGCTTGTTTTAGTTTTTCCACATGCTTTGGAACTGAACGCTGCGGTGTGAACTAGAGCCCTAAATACCATTGGCATACATTGGATGCATTTTTGATGTGCTCTGTAACTGCTCTGCACTTGGTTTGAACAAGCCCTGAAACTGGTCCTACACCTGTAGATTTTCATTTGAAAGCATTTGTTTTTGAAACGTTTGTTCGATTTTCTGTGAGTTCATGGATACAATTGACAATTGTTTTTGACCATAGTGAGCCGAAAGTGCAAAGGAGAAAAATGACATTGTCTTCCAATTTCTAAATGTGAACTGTATATGATTTTAATTGCACATGTATCTGGAAATGTAACATTATATTACTTCCATGCATGTCAAAATGGAACTTTAGAATAAGAACACATTGGCACGGCAATCCAGCAAAATATAATACAAAATTTGTCAACTCCATGATGGTACCACTGAATACTCAGAGAGCGACTTTGTACAACATTCTACAGGTGTATAGGCAGCTTGAGTTTTCAACACCAGCCTTGGGCAACACAAAGAAGGGAGGAGGGGATTGTGTTAGCTCATTATAATTACCTGTAGAACTGGATTTCCTAAACTGAACTGACTCCATGACTAACAGAGGGGGGTGGGGGCATTGGAGATCAAGAAGATTGTCATAGATTTAACTTCTCACTGAACTCCAGGCAGACATGTAAAAGTATTTTAAAGGAGAACTATGGGGTTAAGGCTTTTCCCCATAGTTCTCCTTAGGGTAACGATAAAAGACATTTCATGCCTTTCATAGTGCGCTTCTTTTTTTCATTCCTTGCAGCAGCCATAGGGAAATTTCTGTATGATTCTCGTATTTACAGGGCTCACTGTCCCTGATTTCCATTGTGTAAGACTGATAGTCGCTGTTTCCGCTCCTTCCCCAGGTCACCAGTTGTGTAAGGCCTGTTCACATCTTGGAGTTTCTGAGCAGTTGGAAAAGCGCTTTAAAAATGCCCAACAAAAGAAATCCCATGATTTTCAATGGGCCCTGTTCATACCTGAGCAGAAAAATGCTGCCAGTCAAAACACGCGTCTTCATGTATGCAAGTAAAAACACGCATCAAAATGTGCACAACGTGCATAAATGCTGCTCCTGCGCATACAAACGCGCAAAAATGCTGCCGCCTATGTGTGAACCTGGCCTAACAGCCCTTGTGTAGTTATAGGATATAATGTAATTTCATTGCTGCTTGCTGCAGTGTACTGGCCCAGGCTGATCAGACTCCCAATCTGTCTCATTCACTATGACAGAATACTTTGATTGACAGGTTAGGAGACTCCTGACCTGCCACACCTAATTAGTCCTGCCTGAGCAGAGACACAGGACTAAGGCCTGGTTCACACCTGGGCGTTTTGTAGCGCGTTTGAACACTCTGCAAAACGCTCAAACACCGAAATCCCATTATTTCCTATGGGTATGGTTCACACCTGGGCATATTACAGGCCGTATGAACGCGCTACAAAACGCCCTACGCCCAAAGAAGTATAGGAGCTTCTTTGGGGCGTTTTTGTTGCGCGTTTCCATTGGGATACAGCCAAGTAGCGAATCGCGGTAAAACGTGCATATTCGATACGCCTAGGTGTGCACCCAGCCTAAGAGTTACATAACTGTGATTTCCCACAATCCTGCCCACTTCCAGCAATATGATGGGACTTGTAGATTGTGGTTACCGTGCCAACCAGAGAACAGATGTGACATTGGTGCAATAGTGAGCCCTCCTCCAAGGGCCCAGGCATAGCTCCAATTTATAAAAAATGTGAGGGCACTTTCTGGAGAAATAAGAAGGTTTGAAAAAAAATTCAGCCCTAATCTATGGGGGCCATAGATTAGGGCTGAATAGCTGCTGCCTGTGATGATAAAGTCTGCAGTGATACCAGCTACTGGCCAATAGTGTTTTTTCATCTTGGACTTCCCAATGTGCTTAATCCAGACACCACTCCTCAGTGACAATTTCTTCACAGGATGGACACTCTACAGATCACATGGGGTGAGGTAATCTCACAAAATAAAAAACGCCAGCACCCCATAATGAGCCTCAGTTGTTTATTGAAGACTCAATAAAACCAGTGATACAAAAAGTCCCAAACACGTTTCTCCACCTGTATGCTGAAGGAATACAATCTAATAATGTGTGGCCAGCTAAACACTTACCTCCAACAGTATGGTGTCTGGTCTGTATCTGTCCTTTGCATGGTCCAAAAATACGAAGTCCAAAGCATCCACATTATACTTCTGCTTAAACTGAGGGATGATGTCTGTAGTGGACCCTTCCAGTACCGAAACCTAGACATCAAACCATGAAGATTTGTCAAGATTAGTTAAACATGCAACATATACATCAAAGATTTCCGATCATTTCCACCCAAAACCAAAGGTTAGATAGTTTTGTTGTGTCTTTCTCCTAATTCATGGAAACATTCTGGTGCCACTCACTTCTCTTGGTTCTCACTCTGCCTTTGTAGAGCAGTAGTAAGAGAAAATTCACTAGTAAAACAAATTGAGATTGTTGGAAACAATGAATTGCACTACGCAATTCGCTTTACAGACATAGTTTAAAAGAAATAATTCACCAGAGAAATAAATGGGCTGCCGCTGCTGGGATTTCTTCTGAAAATGGCGGATGCTTGGCTGCCATGCTGATGCTTTGGCAGTTTCTGAGTCACTGGCCTGAACAACGCAAGGCATCCAGTTCCCTGCGGAGCGATAGGCGGAGGAAGGGACATGACTTATACAGGTTAGACCTCAACAAGAAGGAGTTAGGGAAGTATTGGATGGAGGGGTGTTTTTTTCTGTTCTGTATGAAAAGGGGGAAGGGAGGGCTAGCTAGCGTAGTAATAGGTGGGTTTAGATTGGGGGGTGGAGTAAAGGGGACCATCTTACTGTATAGTGTGAGATAAGGAACCATTTTAGGTGGGAGAGAAAAGGAGTCAGAAATTATTTGATTATGTAATCAATTGAAATGACTGGTGTTTAGTGTGTTATTTAGGTGGGAAGTGAGGATTACTTGACCTTGCAGTTAGAGCTTTTCTCTAACTTTGATTTGCTGCATGTTTTGATTTGGTTCAAGTATCAGGTGTATCTAAAGTCACACAGGGTCAAGCAACTATTATTTTTTAGATGAGACAGCAATGGCAGCCCACACAGGTACTGTATCTTTTAACATGTGTATATTAACAACTGACATCTAGCATCCAGTAACATACTTCAAGCGAATGGCTTTATTTGTTTAAACACAGCTGTAAACAAAGTGGCCTAATTTAATGCAACTTTCCAGATCAATTTACAGTAATGTTCTAAAGAAATTCTTTGTTTCCTTTATCAAATTTCCATTACTTGGATTCAAATGATCTATCTATCTATCTATCTATCTATCTATCGTTTCATGAAATAAGTTAGCATGGTTCTTTGCTGCAAGCAATCTATTGGGTGTACCATGTCCTGAACTCCTGCAAATTCAATCATCTGCTTGGCCACATCGGCATGAACTGGATTCAGCTCCACAGTGAACATCCGTGCTCCAGGCTTCAACAAGCGCGCTATACGTATGGCTGAATATCCGCAGTATGTACCCAGTTCAAGGATTACTGAAGGATCTGCCTCTTTGACTACTTTGTCCACGATCAGGCCTGAGAAAACAGAAATATACCAATGAAAGCTCACACAAAAACTCATGTTATACAAGAGCTATAGGCAAATATTAACAGCACCCTTTAGTCTATAGTCCAAACTCAAAGGCAGTGCTGCTCCAGGCGGGTCCACCTTTATCCTCTTAGCACGTGCCAGCCCAGCTTGCCTCTGGTGAGTATAGTATAAATGAATGGATAGCGGCACTTCCAACATCAATATGCGGCTTCTCTAATAATTCAAATTGGCATTCCAGGATACATCAAAAAGAGCTTGATGGGCAATCAATTTATTTCTCTTTTAGTCTCCAGGATTAAAAGAGAGAAATGTAAAAGGTGTATGGATTGCCTAAGGCAGCTTAAGGTTACTCTGTCGCTAAAAATTGCTGTAGGTACAAAGTGGAGGGACCTAAAGACACACTGCCCGTATGAGTGAATCCCAGCTGTCCTACTAGGCAAAGCTCCAAAAACTTCTACA